TTCCTTGAGACCCCCCCCCTGTCGTCCGAACCAGCAGCCGAGGACGCGTGTCGGAGGCCCGAAGTAAAGCGAGCAGGTCACGTGAGCTCCCTTTCCCTTCACGTGACCTCCGGGCGTGACGCGTGGCCCTCTTCCCGACGAGCGCCCGGTTGTTTCGGATCAGGTCAGCGGCGGCCGTGCCCGCGGGCGCTCCCGGGTGCACGTGAGAATGCGGCGGGGACGCGGGTTTCAGGGGCACATGCCCGGCAGGAGGGTCCGCAGAGGCTCTCTCTCTCTCTCTCTCTCTCTCTGTGTGTGTGTGTGTGTGTGTGTGTGTGTGTGTGTGTGTGTCGGGGGGGAGATGGGGTCGGCCGCCTTTGCTTACTGTATTTAGCTTTTTATTGATGTAAGCCGCCTTGGGGTCCTTTTAAAGGAGACAGGCGGGATAACAACATTTTAAACAAATAAAAATAAATACATCGTTCAATATGCAGTGGGTTAGAAATAAAATAAAATAAAAACCCCTTCATGGATTGCTGCCTTGTCGTGGGGAAACTGAGGTCTGCCTAAGGGCATCAAGTAGGTTCACGAAGTTGCTGAACTGGACTTTACTCCATATCCTATAAGGCAGTGGTTCCCCAACCTTGGGGCCTCCAGATGTTCTTGGACTTCAAGTCCCAGAAATCCTGGCCAGCAGAGGTGGCGGTGAAGGCTTATGGGAGTTGTAGTCCAAGAACCTCTGGAGGCCCAAGGTTGGGGACCACTGCGGGTGTGCTGTAGAGAAGGAAGTGGGTCAGGAAAAGGGGAAAGTTCAGAAACCCCACAGAGTGCTGTTGCTGGGGTTGTACTGTGCATTCTGTGTGATCCAGCACACTACGAAGTCTGGCTCTCACGGCGTGAAGAGTGGCGTCGAGTGGCCGGTTCAGGGTAGAGATGGGCACCCTCGGTATTTAAATATTTCTAGGTTCTTCTCTCCCCTTCACGGATTGCTGCCTTGTCGTGGCGAAGGGGCTTGAGTCATTCAGAGAAGCGATGGGCTATGCCGTGCAGGGACGTCCACGACGGACCGGTCATAGTGGAGAGTTCTGACTAAACGCAATCCACCTGGAGTAGGACCTGGCAATGCCACTCCAGTATCTTTGCCAAGAAAGCCCCATGAACAGAAACAAAAGGCTAAAAGATATGACGGTGGAAGATGGGCCCCTCAGGTCGGAAAGCGTCCAACATGCTGCTGAGGAAGAGCGGAGGACAAGCAGCTCCAGCGCAAATGAAGTGGTTGGGCCAAAGCTGAAAGGACGCTCAGCAGTGGACGTGCCTGGAGGTGAAAGGAAAGTCCGATGCTGCAAAGAAAAATACTCCATAGGAACCTGGGATGTAAGATGTATGAACCTTGGGAAGCTGGAGGTGGTCAAACAGGAGAAAGTGTGAAGGCAGGAGGAGAAGGGAACGACAGAGGATGAGATGGTTGGACAGGGTCATCGAAGTGACCAACGTGAATTTGACCCAACTCTGGGAGGCCGTGGAAGACAGGAGGGCCTGGCGTGCTCTGGTCCGTGGGGTCACGAAGAGTCAGACATGACTTAACTAAACAGCAACAAAGAAATAAATAGAGAACCCGGAGGTAGCTGATGCACCCGGTCACCATCACTCCGAAGTGACTTAATGGCGCAGAACGGGGACCACCACCAGGAGAGGTTCTCCGGAGTAAAAGACCTGTTGGGATGCTTCCCGTGCTCATAAGGACGGGGTCCTCAACCCACCCTCGTAGCTGAAGCTGATGTGCTCCGTCATACAATCTCATTGCTCTCCTTCCCTTCAGCTTTGATTAGCTGTTCCTTAGTGTGCATTTGCTAATTGCTTTTGCTGCAGCCTTTTCCTGGATGAACAGGGGCGTGACCTCCGAAACTTGCACGCACCTTCACACTTTGGTGGCTTTATGCTGATTTTTTTGGGGGGAGAATTCCATCATTTGCGCCCATCATCCTTTCCTTTGCTTCTTGTGGCACCTTGAAGGCAAGTCTCTTTTCGTGTGAACTTTTGTGGGTGCACTTCTTCAGGGAGGTGGAAGCTCACACTGAAATACAAGGGCTTGCTTTAAAGGTGCCTCCACAGAGACCTCCCTGGAAATGGTGCCCCTTTTTCTCTCCTTAAGTCGGAGGCTCTGAGGACCGCAGGAGAAATCTCGAGCGAAACGCTTTCTGCCTGTTACACGCCACCGGTGGCTCCTTTTTGGAGTTCTTCTGCTTTCCCTGGAAATAGGAAGAGCTGGCCTTATATCCCTGGGGCCGTCTTATACACAATTCATCAGACGCCAGTCCTCCTACAGGGACCGAGTGGGATTTCTGTGCACGGGGTCAGACTGTGGGCGTCTTTCAAAAAGAGAAGATGGACGGCACCTCCTTCCTCTCTTCTTTCCCAGGACCCACCCAGGCGGCCGTGGTAGGAGTTTGGAAGGAGGCCGCTGGGTGTTCCCTTCTGATTGGGGGGCTCCCCGACCGACTGCCCTCAGAGGCCATCCGTGGAGGTGTGCTTTTCAAAGGGAGGGTGCCAGCCTTTTCCAGGTTTCTGTTGGGGGGGTTGGGTGAGGACGGTTTCCATGGGGCGGGTGAAGAAGAGTCAGCGCCTGCACGCTGGGGATGTGGGCCCGAAGCAAGCGCCCAGTGGCAGCAGCCCCTTCTGGTTGGCGCCCGAGGTCATTTCCTCCACCAGGAACCAGACTCCCTCCTCCCTCTCTCTGACTGTGTTTGGTCCCTTCCCCCTGCATCTCTCCAGGGCAACAGGGTGCCCTCCGCCCTCCAGGCTGGGCGGGCTTTTCTCCCTGACCTCAGGCTCTCCCATTTCTCTTTCGGCCTTTCTCTCTCTCTCTCTCCTCCCGTATCCCTGCAGCCCCCACCGGGCCTGAGTTCAAATCAAACACCCTCATCCATCCGTGAGTGATGGGAGCGCAGGTGTGTGTTTGAGGGGACCAGTAGAGGTGGAGCGTGAGGGGCATGAGGGGGGGCTCCTCCTTGCTCGTCGGGGAACCCCATCCCTCTCCGCTCGGCTGGGCCTGAAGCTTTTCCCTCCTCCATCTTTTTCCACCCCAGGAGAGAGTCGAGGCCGGCGCTGGCTTCCTCTTCTTCAGGATCACGCCTAGATAAGCATCCTGCACCACCTTATTTGCCTTTTGTGCAGATGCCGGCCATGTGCGTGAGAGTGAAGGAGCGTTCCCTCATGTGGCCTCCACAGGACACTCGGAGAGATTCCACCCCCCTTATCCTCCACAGCCTTCTGGCCGTGATCCTGCTTCCGCCCGGGATTTCTAGGCTTCTTGCCCCGCGTGGAAGGCCTTCCAGCCTCAGGGGGAGGAAGGCAGGGCAGGGGCCGCGCGCTCGCCCCCGCGCAGGCGGTCTTGCCTCGTGGCCCCCTTGACTGACTATCCGTGGAGGCCGTCAGGAAATACCGTGGTGGGTCCAAGTCCAGCCCAAGACATTCAGCTGCCTGAGGCAAAGGGACAAGATGGCACCCCCCCTCCCGCTGCCAGCTCAGCTCTTACGTCAGTCCTGGCGTCAGGGGGACAGGAGGGGGGGGAGACCGGCAGCTTGTGGGTCACGAGGAGGCCTGCTCTTCAGGGGCGAGGGGGGGCTCAGAAGGAAGAGCCGAGGGACTGCTATGCCTGCCTAGCCCCCCCCCCCAGCCTCTGCCAGCGCTGTTGGCAGGGCTTCGGAGCCAAGTTTGCGTCTTCAGGCCTCAGCCCCAAGGTCTCGGGTCTGGGTCTCGAGGGGATCCCCTCTCCTGTTCCCCCCCCCAAGGCTTGGGACTCAAGGCCGAAGAGTCCGAAGGCGCACACAGGCTGGGCGGCCGATAGACCAGCGCATGTGCAGAGAGCGCAGGCCTCCCTCCCCGCCGCTGCCACCCGCCACCACCACGCAAGTGGTGACAGGTGAGCTCCCACCCCGGGCATCTGCTGTGTAGGGGGGGGGTCACCTGCTTCCGCCTCATGGTTGGGCCCACCCGGTCTGCTCTGTACCGGTGGGCGGGTGAATCTGTGGCTCTCTCTTTGGAGAGGGCGTGCGGGCGAGCGGGCGTGAAATCCGTTGGAAAGCAAAACAAATCGCAGTAGGGTGGGATGTGCAGTATATATTTCCTTCTTGAAGCTGACAGGTTCGGTCTCCAGGGACATCCGTGACACCTCTTTCCAGGCTTCGGAGAGGGAGCCCGGGGTTCGGAGGCCGGTGACGAGACGAGAGAAGGTCAGCAGACATCCAGGAGGGGCCGAGAGCCCGCAGGGCGACTCGGGGAAAGGCAGCAGGATGGGGGGCGGACGCCTCCCTGTTCTTCAGGGACCTTCTGCTGAAGAAAGGGCCCGACTTCGGATCAGAACAGGAAGCCGCCTGGAGACCTTCAGCTCTTCGGCAATTCCTGCAAGAGAAGAAGTGGACGTCATCCTGCTTGGCATTGCAAGGGTAGCTGGATTGCTCCTTGAGGGCATCTCCAGCTTGCAGGAACATCCCAGCCCCAGAAGGACCCCCGAGATCCGGTTCCTTCTCCTCTACTATTTAGAGGAGGGAAGTTGTGAGCATGCGCTCTCTTGGAAAGAGTCAAAGCAGAACAAAAATCCCAGTGCACTTGCTGTTTGGACGTCATCCTGCTTGGCATTGCAAGGGTAGCTGGATTGCTCCTTGAGGGCATCTCCAGCTTGCAGGAACATCCCAGCCCCAGAAGGACCCCCGAGATCCGGTTCCTTCTCCTCTACTATTTAGAGGAGGGAAGTTGTGAGCATGCGCTCTCTTGGAAAGAGTCAAAGCAGAACAAAAATCCCAGTGCACTTGCTGTTTTATTATTATCTATTTAGAGGAGGGAAGTTGTGAGCATGCACGCTCTTGGAAAGAGTCAAAGCAGAACAAACATCCCAGTGCACTTGCTGTTTTATTATTATTATTGTTGTTGTTATTGTTGTTAAGACATATGTATTTGCAACATGGGGTGTTTTGACTTTTTTCCCCCCCAGGATCCCGTGAAAGGTTTCTCTGTCCTGGCCGACTCCTGGCCTTCTAAAGCTGGGGGGAGAAAGAGACGGGGCTCAACCATTTTGGTCGATGGGGAAAGAGGCGATGGATCCTGAGCCGTTGAGGGCCTTAGAAGCTGGGAGGGTTGTTGTAAAGCCCTTTGTCTTGTCTTTCATGCCGGCTGAGAGACCCGCTCATAGCCAGGCAGGTCCTTGCGTTCCCTCCCACGTATTTCCCGTTGTTCTTTTTTTTTTAATGACACGGAAAGGCTCTTGATATTAGCAGCTCCCTGGAGACGGTTTGCAGACACTTACGGAGTTTTCTGGAGCAGAATCCATCTCTGAAACAACTTCCGGGACTCCTACAGATCTTTCTTTTCCGATTCTAAGCCTGTTGCGGCGGAAGAGAGAGAGAGAGAGAGAGAGAGAGAAATCTTTGGGCCTTCTTTCTGTCAAAGAGAGAGAGAGAGAGAGAGAAAAAAAATCTTTGGGCCTTCTTTCTGTCGGCGTTCAGGTGAGAGACAGAAGAAACTTTACTTGTTTCAGATACAACAAAAAATGGGCCTTATATTAATGTAAACCGCTGACCAGTTTTTAAAAACCTAAGGGTGTTTACATGGTAAAGAGGGTGTTTCGACTGGTATTTTAAAGTTGCATCCCTGTGCTAGAGGTGAAAACAAAATAAAAAATAAAAAAGATAAAAAGACAAAAACATGGTGGCACATAGGGTCCCTTCCATCTCTGCAGTTCTCAGATGATGATGATGACGATGATAGCGTGGCAAATATTTATATATTGGCATCAAAATACAGAGGTTATGGTTGGCTGGTAAGAAAATCAGTGGATGTTTAACAGTGGAGTAATAGCCTTTTTGATATACAGTGGTACTCCCTTATTTGCAGGATCAGTATCCACTGATTTTGACTTATCCGCATTCTGAAAATATTAAAAAATATTAAAAGAAAAAACCAAAATACGGTATATATTCCTAACAATGAAATTCCTACAATAGCCTCTAGAGGGAGCCAGAGACCATGCTACGCTATGTATAGCAGTGGTCCTCAACCTAGGGCCTCGAGATGTTCTTGGACTACCACTCCCAGAAGCCTTCACCACCACCTCTGCTGGCCAGGAGTTCTGGGAACATCTGGAGGCCCAAGGTTAGAGACCACTGATGTATAACATTTGCTTACCATAATCACGTTCACTATAACCTGCATTTTTCAGCATCTGCAGGGGGTGGGGGTTTGGAACCAATCCCTGACAAATACAGAGATCCTACTGTGTGCAATAAAAACCTCACTGAAGGTTTTTTTCCCCCCTTCCTCCTTTTTTGCTTCTGTTTTAAGCTTTGCATAGAAGGACGTACCTGAGAGAATGATTGAAAACCTTATTTCTAACCCAGGTGGGGCAAGGCTGATCTTGGGGTAGAAGGACAAACAGGGTCTCTTTATTTTTGGCTTCCTTCATCATCCTCTTACTCAGCAACAGCTTTCCTTCCCTGCATGGCCTTAAACCCAAACTTTCCCCCGGAGTAACGTCAAAGCCAAAATCCTGAGTAAAGTTTAAAAATAATTAAACTACCCAGTCTCGGATTATATGGAAGGGACCCCCTTTCGCACATCATCAGTTTCATCTGGAAAGAAGGAACCACAGCAAGGCCCACATATTCAAGAGGGGACCGGTTCCAAACCACCCCCACCCCCACCCCTGCAGATGCAGGAAAACCATTATAGCAAATGCTATTTTAACGCTATTTTCATGTCTGATGAATATAAAAGTCTTTAAAGGTGCTTCTAGGTTTCTGTCTACCTTTACTTTTTACTTTTATTTTGTTTTCACGCATAATGCTTGCACAGAGTAAGCAGGGCAATGTTTTCCACGCTGCTAGTGTATTTTAATAACAAATCCTATATACTGTACATAGTGTGGTCTCTTGCTCCCTTTAGTGGCCAGTTCTGGTAAATTTGATCTTCAGAAATACAGTACATATTTTTGTTGCTTGAGGTTGAGCTGGGGGGGGTTTGCCTGGAATTTTACTTCTATTATTTTAAATATTTTCACACTGTGGATAAGTGAATCATTGGATATGGATCCCCCGGATACGGGGGGAGGGTCATATCGCATATCATCTGACCCACCATGCAGAGCGATGATGCAACGCAGGTGTCCTTTCCTGCAGATCAAGTCCCGCCAGGCAGGGAGCGCAGGAAACACCTTCCCTTCTTCCTGTTTGCCTTTGAGGGCATGGACCTGGCTTTGTCTCGCGGGCAGGGAGCGCAGGAAACACCTTCCCTTCCTCCTGTTTGCCTTTGAGGGGGAGAGAGAGAACGATGGTGGACTTACCAGCTGTATATGTGCTTCCTCAGCATTATACTCAGAGTCACCAAAAGCAGGACAACCCCGACCATCGAACTGAGCATGAGGGGTTTCTTGGATTCTGCAAGAAGGAGGAGGAGAAGAGGTGGAGCTTATCTTCGTTTCTCCGGAAGGGGAGAGGGTTGGAGGGGGTGCTCGAGACCCCACAGGACGGGAGGTTGGGGACACGAGCCCCCCCTCTCCTTAACACTGGCGCTACACCCCGAGCAAGTGTCCAGGCCGAATGGCTTCAGCAGCACATTTTGCTTTTTGCTTTGCGTTTCTTGCTGGGATCCGGTGTGTTCCCTCTAACTGTGTTTTCTGTCTGAGGAGGACCCCATAGTTGCAAAAGGCAGGAAGATGACTCCTGCCCGGGGTCTCCGTGAAGGCCAAGTTCTCCTTCTTCTTGCCCGTGGCCCAGCTGACACCTGTTTCTCATCTGGGCATGGCAGGGACACGCAGGAAAGCTCCCCAATGCGCGTCTCTCTGTCATAACGAGAACTCTCTCTCTCACACACACCCCGGTGCCCTTCTAACTCTACTGAATCCTCCTGGGGAAAGCAGGACCGTAGGTGCACCCTCTGACTTGTTCCTCTCCAGCAAGCCAGGCTGGCCTGAGCCCCTCTCCAGGGGCCCGAAAAGGAGCCCTCCATCTGGCCCGGCCCTGCCCTGCCCCGACCCTCGGTCGCCTGTGCTGCTTTTGATGCTGAATTGGGTTGGGGTCTGGGTGGTCTTTCCCCCAGGCCATTAGCTTCTAAAGAAGGCATGCGCTTGCCCGTGGCAACCTTGCTTCCAGATGACTGCTGATCCCCTCACTTGGGAGCGGGCAAGTGGCAGACACTCCCCCCCCCGGTCCCGCAGTCTTCTGGTATTGCCATTATGGGAAATATGCCCAAACTGCAGCAGTTGAAGTGCGACCCCACCCCCCCAGTGCTGAAAAAGACCGAGACGGGTGGGGCGGGGTCAGAAGAATGCTGCGCTACTCACGGACGCGTTCTGGAGGGGGCCCGCTGTCGAGACTTCCCCCAAACCCCCGGCTCCTGCAGTCAGGGGGTGCCCACCCGTAAGTGCAGTGGCAGTTCCTGTTACTGTTGCACACCTGAAATACAGAGAGTGGACAGGGGACAGTATTGCGTTTGTCTCCAGGGTGGAAGAAGGGATGGTCACTCTCGAATTGGCCCTTCTCAGCCACACGAGACGCTGTCCCAAGACCTCCATTCAGAGCATGTGACCCTCATCTTTCGAGATTGAAGGATGACTAATCTGATGACAATGTTCACTCACAACAGCAACAAAACACCGCAATTTTAAAAGCCAGCAATGGCAAAGGGACCTTAAAATCAGGTGTTTTAGAGTCACTTTTAAGTCCCAATTTTAATTTTCCTTTTGGTATTTACTTCTGCAAGCCTTTCGTGTGTCTATGTTTGTGTATTGTTTACAAAGGCATCAGTTTGAGCAGAACACTTTCAAAAGCCGGGAAGGCAATTAACGCCACAAACAAACAATCTCACCTTGATCGGGGAAATGAACCTAATTGCAACTTACCCCGTGGTTGTTACACTTTGAGAAATCACAATCATAGTTCAGAATTGTCAGGCTGACGCAGGATCTGTTTACACATATCTACAAAATGAATGTCTCAGTGGGTTAAATGGAAAAAGCTTAAAAGCTCCTATTAAATTACAAAACATCCTGGAATTAGATGCAGCAGAGCAGGTGCGGGCCCAAAAAGAAATTGATCTGAAAATTCAAAGGACTGCGCTCCGTTCTTATCTTTTTTTTCTCTCTCTTCTAACCTGCAACTTTTCTCAAGACGTGTTTAAACAAGAGTTGTTTATTAAGAGGATCAAGACCCCAGTTTGCCAATCACGGGACGCTGTCAGCCCGTCCCATGAAGGAAAAGACAGACTCTGGAGAGATGTTTAGCAACGGGTGACTCCTGTCGCTGTACATGAAGCGGTTTTAAAGCGGCACCCGATCCACACTTTTTTCTGCTCTAGCTTTCCCATCCATCCTTCTCAAAATGTGAGAAGGGAGGCCTCACAAGCAGGGGGCAGAGATTGGGGGGGTCAACTGAAGGGAGGGTGGATGCCGGCAGGTACAGAACAGAACAGGGCATGAGTTGCAAACCCCGTGAGTGTGATCCACACACAAAGAAAACCGTTTAGAGGTGAATTTCCGTAAATTAAGAAACGGCTGCTGCAGGCGTTCTCTGTTGCCTACGGCGCTGGGTGGGCTCCGTACGCGACAGAAGGTGCCAACAGAAATTTCTGAAGGTGCAACGGTTTGCTTCCAAAAGTTTACACCACTTCTATGACTGGATGCCAGCCAAGAGGTATTAACACTGTCTGGAGCACCAAGGCGTACGGTTTGCAGCCGAGGGCTCTTTTCCAGGTTCTTTAAATGTGCCGTCTGCGAGGGGATGGCAAAAGCACAGCCCTACGGGTAGGCGCCTTAGCTCTGTACTCTTTGCTAAACATTTAGACATTGGGGTGCAAAATTGCTAAGACTTTTGATATGATGGAATCCTATCTGCCATAGGGTCCTAGAATTGTGGAGTTGGAAGGGGCCTCTAAGGCCGTCGGGTCCAACCCCCTGATCAAGGCAGGGATCCAAGTCAAAACAGATCTAATAATAATTTATAATAATCATCTTAGAACTGCAGAGCTAGAAGCGACACTACAGATCATTGAGTCCAAGGAGGCCCAGTGGGGAATCGAACTCCCAACCTCTGGCCTCCGCAGTCAGATGCCACTGAACTATCCAGCAGTTCAGATATGAGAGGTGGTTGTTTGATTTTTCCCTTGAAGGCCTACAGTGCTGGAGCACTCACCACCACCTCTTGAGGTCATGGGTTCCGCTGTCGTACTGCTCTAACAGTTTGCAAATGTTTCCTGATATTCAACCAAAATCTGCCTTCCTTTAACTTGAGCCCCTGACAGGCAACAAAAATCTGGCTTCCTGTCACTTGAGCCCAGGGTTGCGTGTCCTGCACTCTGTGATGATTGAGAACAGATCTTGCCTTTCCTCTGCATCACAGCCCTTCAAATATTTGAAAAGTGCCATCACATCACCCCTCTGCCTTCTTTTCTCAAGGCCAAACATGCCCAGTTCTTTCAGCCTTTCCTGATAAGGCTTGGTTTCCAGCCCCATGATCATCCTTGTCGCCCTCCTCTGAACTTTTTCCAGTATGTCAGCATCCTTCTTGAAGTGTGGTGTCCAGAACTGGACACAATATACTGAAGGTGAGGCCTAACCAGTGCTGAATAGAGGGGGACCAGCACCTTGCAGGATTTGGAAACGATACTTCTTAGAATGCAGCCTCAAATAGCATTTGCCTTTTTTGTAGCCACATCACACGGTTGGCTCATATTCAGCTTGTGATCTATGACAATTCCAAGATCCTTCTCACTCCTAGTATTGCTGAACCAAGGACCCCCCATCCTGTCACTGCGTGCTTATTTCCCAGCCCTCAGGTATAGAACTTTGCTGAAATCACAGGCGTTCCCCTTACTTTGTCCGTTCCACACGTTGATCCGTCTTTTATGGCTCCGACGTCGTACGCCTCTTCCTCTTCATGAAACTCTGTGCCCAGGCACAAGACGTTGTCGATGGGCGTCTGAATCACACCTTGCCTGGTGGAAATGATTGGGATCTCTTTAACGTTAACGCACTGGATCCTTCCGCAGAAGACATCCCTGGAAGAAAAGAAAGAAAAAGAAAAGAAAAGAAAGGAAGGAAGGAAGGAAATGCATAGCTCCTCCTTCACTCATCATGAAAGCAACTGAAGGCCACCATGGGGACGCTTTGAGTTTTTTCTCTCGGAAAACCCCTGGAGAGTCTTTCAATCCCACTAAGGGCAAAGTCTAGAGAAAGGGCGCCTGGTTTGGGGCGGCGGTGCGGGGGGGGAGACATGATTGAGAGGTATAAAATTCTGCAGGGGATGGATAAAGTGGATAGAGGGGATTTTTACATAAGAACCTAAGAGCAGCCCAGTGCTGGATCAGGCCGAGGGCCCATCTAGTCTGGCTCCCTGTATCTCAAAGTGACCCCCCACCAGATGCCTCCGAGAGCACACGAGACTACGAGAGAGACCGGTCTCCTGATGTCCCCCCCCGGTCCCCTGCCTCTGGCCTTTGGAGGTCCCTTCCTTCGAAGACTGGAGATTGTACATCCCCGTCAGGGCTTGTCACCTGCGATGGGACTTTTCCTTCAGAAATCTGTCCCATCCCCTTTTTAAGGCCTCAAGGCCAGATGTCATCACCCCATCCTGTGGCAAGGAGTTCCACAGACTAACAACCTGCTGGGTCAAGAAAGATTTTCTTTGGTCTGTTCTCCCTCTCCCAACTCTCCATTGGAGCTGC